ATTTTGCATTTAAGCCATTTAAACTTCTTTTCAGGGCAGGGGTATCCAGTAACAAAAACTGATTCAGTACCTTCAAAAATATAGCAATAGAGGTCTAGATATTGACTTTCTGATAAATACAAGGAAAGTTATATCAAAAACTAGTATTTGGTGCCTGACATATGGTGCTAAAATTAAGCAATGATCAATTTAACATATGAAAGGAACTGAATGTGTTTTAAATATCTTCAAGGACAATTTACAGATTTAAATCCTTTTAATATTTGCAAACTTATTCTAAAAAAGAAAAAAAAAATTGTCTTGGGCAATTTTTTACTCTCATTCTTCAAATTTGGGGGACAAAATATGTCAAAGAAACTTGTTAATTTGACAGAATTTTGTGTTGAAGGGACCCCAAATCTATTTGCTATAAGCTGTTTTTGAAAAGTAAATCTGTCACTTATAACATTAATTTTAACAAGATTTCAATGACTTTCCTAGCAAAAAAAAAAAAAAAAAAAAAAAAAAAAAAAAGAAAAAAAGAAGAGATCAGTGATTAACATGTGTGATTTTTGCTTAACTTCAAATGATCATAACTTGACATGTACTTGGATTTAAGACAAAGATAGATCACTTCTGAAATTTTGGGACTATTTACCTTTGGACTAGATATAGCACGTATCAATTGGGAAATGTTCCAAACAAAAAATGACAAATGTCTGCTTGCAAGCCCACTTGTGGATTACTCTTACATGACACAGCTACAATGATTTTGATACTATATAGCATTTATTTTACAAATGCAAAGCCAACTTCTATAGGAAAAGAAACATCTTTAATTTGATTTTAAAATTACAGAGGAAATATTAGTAATCTAGCAGCGAACACAAAATCTGATATTTCGTGAGCATTTTGCCATAGAAAGTGAATTTCTGTTATATAGGTACCTACAGTTTCTTTGATGCATCTCTTAATAGAAAAATATCATTTTATTGCTTATGAATATTTGGATAAATATTTTTATCTTTCATGTATTTGTATAGACCAATAAAGACAAGTACAATACATAAAGTATAAAAATGTGACCTTATTCTAAGGAGAAATAAGATATTATCTAAAATAAGTAACTGATTTAAACAAAAAAGAAACAAAGAAAAGTATTATTTTTAGCCAACAAAATACATAAGAAAATAACTGTCTGGAAATAAAAAAAAAAAAAAAAAGCAAAACATTCACAGTGGTAAAGAAATATGACCGTCTCTCTGGTACATATTTAAAAATAATTTGATATCAGTGGAACTTTGCCTATACATAATACATTTGTCGGTAAGATGTGTAGCTGTTCCACTTGTGACTTTAATATACACAAGAGAAAAAAGATGGTATATTGAAAAAGAACAAATTTTCAAGTGTATGACTATGTTTTATTAAACAATTACAGTTAATATAGATAAGACAATTCTCTCATGAGGCAGAAGTTAAAAAAATATTGCATCAATTGTATAACTTTAAAAAAAAATTCAAGAGAATTTCTAAGAAGGTTGATTCCTTATAATTTCACTTAAAAGAGAAAATAAAACCTTTTCAATCAAGTCATCAAATTTAAAAACATATATATATATATATATATATATATATATATATATATATAAAGGGAATTACAAATGTCATAAAATTGATGTAGATCAAGCTATATTAAAAGTAGTAGTCAATGTTACTAGCTATTTTCTAACTAAATTGCTGGTTTCAAGTAGAATTGAATTACAGGAGACAGTATCATTTTCATGTCAATAAAAAAAAAAAACTTCAAAAGAACAGCAATTTCATTTAGTGTCAGGATAGAGTATAAGAATATACCATTCCTAAAAGTATCAGAGCAAAATATTTGATGGCAACCACTCTTGTAGTCCATATTTATATATATATATATATATATATATATATATATATAGGCTACATTCCTTCTCCATTGGTGAATGTTGGTCTGACCATATGTTAATACAATCCAAGGATAGTTTCACCATCCATAGTCTGTCTGCACTCCACCAGCTCAAAGAGTAGATGTGATAAAGCTAAACGACAAGACCCTTTGTGATAACAACTTTGCAGATATCCTGGACAGTGCAAACATTGAATCAATATGGTGTGTTTTCAAAAGTGTTATACATGTATCATCCCATGAAAAGCTTGGATATGTCAAGACAGGTCTGACTTAAATGATCCAAGTATTCTTTCTCTTTTAGATAATAATCACAAGTGATATCGTCAATAGACAAGAACAATGTTACAAAGCGCAATGAATTCAAGAAAGCCAGGAACTTATGCCAGTTTCAACTATGGAAATGAAACAAGTATGGTGGTGAGAGAAGGCACAGGAATTGCATTTTGCTACTGATAGATGCAACTTTAAATCATTCTATTAGAATCTAAGGGGTGTCTTTGGATCTGGGTCAAATGGCCCATCTTTTCTTCCAATGGTAAGCTTCTAATGAACAAAAAGAGATTACTAAATGCTGGAAAGATAATTTCTCAACTGTTCTAAACATGGATTCAAATGTTGACAAGAATCTTATCCACAACTTACCACAGAGGCCTATTTTTGAAGGGTTATCAGCTACTCATCTATTGCAGAGATAAAAAGGGCCTTATAACAACTGACAAACGGAACGTCTTCTGGTAATGAAGGGATATACAAATGTGGCAACAATTTCCTGGTTCATAAACTTTATACATTTTTCTTTAATCTGGGATTCAGGATCAGTTCCTAAGGAGTTTAAAGACACTTCTATTGTCCATCTCTATAAGCACAAAGGTAATAAATATGAATGTAATAACCATAAAAGGTTATTTTCCTTCTGTGCGTTGCTTAAAAAATTCTTCAACAGACTAAAGTCTTCTCTGGCTGATTCAATCTTGTCCTAAATCTTAGTGTGGTTTTCAGTCTGGTAGAAGCACTGTGGACATCATTTTCATTTTAAGGCAACTACAGGAGAAAGCACGAGAGCATGACAAGGATTTATTTATTACTTTCATTGATCTCACTAAGGCTTTTGATACCATTTCAAGAGATCCTCTTTGAGTAGTCCTTAGGAAACGGAGTGTTCCTGAAAGTACGTTTAGTGTCACCATGTTTTTCCTTCAGGGGATGATGGCCACAGTTTGATCCTGGGGATAGGTGTCAGATCCATTCATTGTTTCTAGTGGAACAAAACAAGGTTGTATTCTTGTACCTCTCTTATTTGCTTAGTATTTTTCTTGTTATGCTGGAAACAGCATTTGAGAAGGTGTGAGATTTGAGTTTATGACAAATGGTGGATTATTTAACCAACACTGCTTCAAAGCAAGAACTAAGATGATTGTACAAACTGTTTGTGACCTGCTCTTTGCAGATGTTTGCACACTTGTAGCTCACACCCTTGGGGATAGGCAGTGGATCAATAACAAATTCCCTTGTACATCTGATCACATTAGAAACAGTGAAGTTTTGACTAAATGCAACACGACAGGTATTGAAGCCATCCTAATGAAAATCTAACTCACATGGGCAGGACATCTTTTCCATATGAGTGATAACAGACTTCCAAAACAACTCCTCTTTGGTCAGTTTCTAACATGCAGGTCAGTTGGAAGACCACTGTTGTGTCTCAAAGACAAAATGATGCAGGATCCCCTTTTCTTTCTGAGAAAGCAAAGCATCAGAGTGAAGAAGCTGGCACCTGCCTGCTTCTCATCTATACAATAGTTTAAGTGAGGCTGACTTGTTTATTGGGATCAACTGCATGCAAATATTAAAGAAAGTTGGCAGCATGCTTCTCTTCTAAATGATAGCCTTACCTGCCACTTTGTTTTTGTCACACACAGTAAAGCAGGCCTTGCTGCCCACTTGCAGAAACATGTGGCAATTGATCCTCAATCACATGTCCCATCTGTCTAAATGTTTGCAAAACACCTGCAGGCCTCAGGTGACACATGTGTCCATAGAAGTTGAGCAGCTCTTTATTTTACTGAGCCCTCATTTGTCTCCTGCAACAAGATAATCTCACCATATATCTATATATATATATATATATATATACATACATACATATATATATACACACACACACACACATATATATATGTATATATATATATAATATATAAAAATTTCAGTTATCTGTTTGGATTAGTCTTGCTCTTGTGTCCATCGTCTTTTTCATGTTGAATTGAATATAGTCTAATGTTAATTATGTTTTATGAATATGTCCTGAAGATGGCCTATTAGACCGAAACGTCTGACGTTGACATTATATTAACATTAAAACTGCATAATTGCATATTAGGATTTTTGCTTGTTTTTTCCGTATATTTTTCTTCATATATATATATATATATATATATATATATATATATGCTCAAATCTGTACAAGTATATGAATTTAACATCTTTAAGAATGATGGAACTACAGATTGAGTAAATATAGAATTAAAATCCTATATTTTAACACTTCAATAACATTAAAATATGCAAACTTAATCCATATTCAATACAAACAAGGTTATTGATGGAAAAAAAGAAATCTATGTTTATTCTCAGTAGAAACTCATAACATAAGCATTATTTAAGATAATCTTTGTTGATTGAAAATGCTGATAATATTCAGTGTAGGCATTTAGAACTGTGATAAAGTTTTTACCAAAAATTATCTATCTAGATGATTACAAATCTTTAATGAGATAACCAAAATTTGTTAAAAGCTGCATAACTAGGAAAATTTTCCAGGTCAGCTTATTTCTGATGATGTTTATAAATTCAGATAAGTACAGCTGCTCTAATCTTGCTATTCAGGTACAATCTGATTCGTTCTTTAATAATTCTAGTTTGCACTGGAATTATTAAAGAATGAATCACATACCAGTACAAATGATAAAATACTAATTAATCATTTACAATATTAATCTTTGTAATAAAGTTAGAGATAAATAAAAAAAATAGAAAAGAAGGAATACAAATTCCTTATAACAGGTCTAAATATACATACCTCTCCGTCCCTTTCTCCTGAGTAACATGATATTGTACAGGGTTTAATTTTTCCTTCAGTTCTTCTTTGGAGTACGTGACTGGGCACGTACCACTGGTAGCATCTTCGCATGATGCTTGGAGTTTTTTGAGAGCCGGTGAAGTCTCCCGTTTAGCAGTTATAGCATGCAACAAGTTCATGCAGACAAAAGAGTAGAATTCTCATTAGCACCTGAAAAAACAAAACAAAGAACACATTACTTTAAAAAAACTAAATGCATCACAGTTTATTGTGAAATAAATCAATCTTCAATGTCTGTTTATTTGAAAAGTTATTTAAAATTATGTAAAGATTGCACAGAGTTATAACACTTGATCTTTAAACATGGAATTGAAAGGACAAAAATTCTATACTAAAAGCATAGATCCCACTGTCCAGTAATTATAAAATAAAATTAAACTTTCACAACATTTGTCAACATTAAAAATATAACTGCAATGCAACTATAGCCATTTATTACACAATTCAATATACATCAATATTTATGCCTTAATTTATAGATTTAGTTTAAATATTTTAATTTTAAATAAATCCTATTTCTAAATGCAAGCATTTCTTCTACAGTGTGAACTTGTTTCAAATATATAAAAAGAAATATATGGGAGAATATGATATATACATTTTTATATATCAGAGCACTGTTAGGCAAATTCATAACGAAATGTGAAAAATTGTATGATATTTTGATGAAGTCATAAAGGACGAAAAGAGTCACACAAAAAGAAATGTACCTATTATGACTACAAACTTCCAATTTCAGTCTCTTCTGTCAATGTCTATATTTCCTTTTCAGTAAACTTTGTTAGAATGTTGTGCAGTTTGATATTTGGTAGTGAAGGTAGCTTTTTCAATAGCAATAGCTTAAAATACAACCTATGGTTATTTTCAGTTAGTTTCATTGTAGCATTTAAAAGACTTAAATAACTTATAGATTGAAAATATAGAAGTTAATTGTAATAAAAACATTTGATGCATTTTAAGACAAACAGAGATGATTATAGAGGGGATTTAATATGTTTCTTTGGATAAGTGTTTTACAAATGTGCCAGTTTCCAAGCACACATTAAAAAAAAATAATGGTGGCATCCCAAAGTGGTTAGACCATTAGAACTGACCATTAGTTATCAAGGACGTGACTTCTTTATAATATCAACCTTGGGAGATAATAACATTGTGTTGTACTGTTAACATAGATTGACTGAAGCGTTGTGTGTGAAATTTGGTAGATATGAAACTGTTTAAAAATCATTGATGGTTGTGCTGTCACAAACTCACAGCTCATAATAACTGAAGATTTAAGTGTGTACTGGCCTTGTTCAAATATTGATCACACCAGATTATGCACTGTAGATACGTTTGCCTATTGGTATCTGTCTATATTTCTGGGATGAGATATTATGTACACTATTTACATTATTCGGACTATTGTCCTCATCTTTGTTGCTATATTTATTACGTTTCGGACGTTGTACATTCCGGCCTTCTTTCTGGTGGTTGGAAAGTCAAACTAAACCCTTTATTTTGCTCACTGGAGTAGACTGTTCTAGTTCCACGTGCCATGTTTAATGGATGTCAGTTATCAGTTATCTCCTCTGCAAGTTTTCCACTGCCTTAACTGGGTACTGAAATAACGCACTTTGGGTCCTGTCACTGGATCTAACTAACGCCTTTATCCAATGTGCCAGGTGGGTAAGGGCAGTCTTGGTTCTGTATCTGAATTGATTCCTTGACTTCTAGCTCTTGAAGTGGATGACCGTGTATGTGTGGTAGCATTTTTCATTCTTCATGCATCTTTTGGCTATTGCTGTCAACCTTAATCAGCTAATTTCCCTCCACTGCTTAATGATTTGGTATTTATCCTGCAGAGCAGAGAGAATCATCTTTTATAGCATGGCCATATAGCATAATTGCCGGAGACATGCCAAGGTCCTGAACAGGAATATTATGATAGGTTAGTAGAGCCCTGGCTGTGTGATCATGGGTGTCAGTGCTGTCTGTCAATATTCTCTTGGCTGTTTTGACAGCCAGTTCTGCTTAAACATTACTCTTTCATTACAAGTTCAGCATTGAGCTCTAGTCTGTTGAATACTTGAATCCAGTCCAGGCCAAAACAATCACTGTCTGGCATTTGCTAGTATGCAAATTATCACTGATAGGTCATGATGTCACCCAGGGAATCCTCCTTGTATATATTCATCTAGAGTTTGGCACTCCTCATCTGTAGCTGCAGTGGACACAATTCTGTCTCATGTGATTGCCCTTAGCTTGGGGTCCTGTTCACATGTAGAGGTAAATGATGCTTTTATAGCACTCAACTATTTGTGTAGTATCCTTAACTGTTGTACCAATGGTTCATGGTGTGAGGTACCTCGAGGTACAGTCCAGTGAGGCATTGAGTTTACCAGAGATGCTTTATGCAGAATTTATACATTAGGGAGCATTCCTTGAGACTGAATAATTGTAAGTTTTTTATATTCTCTAGAGCCTTGTCTGAAAAAATTCTCATCAGCAGTTTGTGGTCCGCAGTTACCAATATGTCTGGAGATCCTAGCACAAACACTCAGCAGGACTCCAATCTATATACCAGAGCCAGTGCCTCTCCCAGGACTGGTGCATAGTATGATTCAGCATTACTAGTGAAGCAAGGTCCAGCAAGGATAAGTTTAAAGTGGTCCTTGCTGCAATTGGTTTCCACTTCCCTAGCACATTTGCAATATTTCTGAAACAGGATGAAGTCAAGGCCATTCCTGCTGTAGTCTGTTGTCAGCCATGTTGGTCTGTTAACATCAAATGCCTTTACTCCATCCTCAATTTCTTGTGCAATCACCTGTTTGGATTTGTTGAACAGTTTACTGAGTGTGTCATCCCAGTAAAACCTCCAGGTCTTTTGAACATAGCAGTTCCAGGAAAAGGGGCCCATAAACTCAGCTTGGGTGAATGCATGTGATACCCAGTTCACTAGTCCAAACCAGGAGCTGACACTAGTGATGTTCGTAGATGTGGGGAACTGCTGGATAGCTTCTATAATTTTTTTCATAGGTTTCATGCATTGTTATCCAGAACCCAGTAAACTCCATTTCCTCTTCTGCAAAATGGAACTTCTTCAGGTTGAAGACTATGCTATTCTTGCCACAATGGGTAATGTACTCTATTGTGTATCAAAATGTTTCTGTTGAGTCATTTCAGAGTATGCTGTCATCTATACAGTGAGTTTTTCTAACTATATCAACAATGATATCATTGAACCAACGAGTATATGCATCTCCCAAAGCATGGAAACCCTGTAGAGTCCAGAGGTATCAGTATCTATCCCACTTGGTAATGAATATAGGGGAAGGCCATGGCATCCATTCTACGCATCTAGCATGGTTTTTCTCATGTATGCTGGTACCATTGAAACTGGATTAAAGGGGGGGGATATGATGTGTCTCCTCATGGTGGCAGAATTGAGTTTCTGTAGGTCTACCATATGTGTGGGTGATCCATCCTTCTTTGGTGTAACCACCATTCTTGAGCACCATGTTGTAGTGGTAACAACTGGTATTGGTTTGACAATGCCAAAAGCGAAATCCTGGTCAATGTTCTGTTTGAACTTCTTTTTCCAATGATGATGAACTAGGATCAGTGTGTGGACTGTTATCAATGTTGTTCCCAGAATGAGGTGATGTTTAAAGGCTTCTCTTTCATCATCTGTAGTAGATTGTGAGTGCACATGTTGAATATACTGGGCCCCAAATGCTCCAGTATCCATTGCTACTGTCAGTGTTTATTGCTTTCCATTGGGGGAAATGGGGTAGCAGCTAGTTTTGGTGGGAGAGACATTCTTTGAGGGCATCCACATCTGATCTTTCTATTGGCACTTGTCACATTTTGCCATGATGTTGTAGTTGGAAAGTTGGAAGGTAGTAATTCTAGATCTTTCAAGGCTGACTTAGATAAGTAAAATCCAGATGTGTTGTTCAATACATACAGTTTGGCACATTTTCTTTGTGCCAACCCCGATATATGCAAAGAGCACACCTTTTATGTGTAACTGGTCATCTGTTATGCCATGTGATATTTGTCCAGACATTTGAGAATCTTTTGTATCTTGGGTCTGCTTGAGCACTGTGCCCTGGTGTCAGCAATAGTGACAATTTGGCTGTTGGTGTGTACCTGAATTCAGTGTGGGATTCAAGTATCAGGGTCACTTCCACTGTTAATGATGCTGGCAGTTCTGGAGGTCACCCTAGGAACTTGTTTCCATTCTAGATGAGGTGAGGCATGGTCTTTGGTTGGCTCTACTACTTCATTTAGATTGTCCAAATTGGCGGGTCACCTTGCTGGGATTATCTGTGTGCCCCCTGATGGTAAACATGAATGAATCATGTTTTGCTACACTTTTCATTGATTTATTGCTGGATGCCTTTTTGAGTTTCTAGCAAACCCTTTTCACATACCCCAGCAATCCACAATTGAAGCACCTTAATTTGGCCACCAGGCATCCCTTTCTATCCATTGACCCACTGGGATGTGAGGCCCTTCCACATCCCCAGCAAGGCATGGCATAATGTGGGGTCTTGACTGCTGTCTTTTGCATCCCACCATCATGGGTCATCCTGGTTTCCTGCCACAAAGCCCTTCTTTTTGAAGTGCTATATTCTTTCTTTGCAACTCAATCATTTGTTTCATAAATTGCACATATTGTTGATCCATAACTGGTGGGGAGGCCATGTTTCCTTGTATGGTTACACCAATTCCATGTTTTGTTAATAATCTTTGTGAGGTTTTGCTTTACAACTATGTACTGTTGGTATTTTTTGCACTTAAAATTTCATTCAGTATCTTTTTTGGCAACACCATGTATGATGTCTGTGTATAATATCTGGAATGAGACAAGACACCACTGTCCTGAATGACTGCCATTTATATTTGGCTACCAGTCTATGTGGCAACGACAGACTACTCATCTGGTTCTGTTGCTGGTGTACCCTCTAGAATAGTCCCTTATGCAAGACAGTACCTCCTGTCCTACCCCACAGCATGATTATTAGCAGTTCTTTACCATCAAGTTCATTCCTCATAGTGTATCCCACAAAGACAAGTTTAAGGCATTTAAAATGAATAAATCAGTTTCTGGAATCCCTTACACGTTATATATTTGCTACTGAATAATAATTTCTAACATCTAA